ACTGGATTTTAGGTTTATTGCACAAAAACACTGTTGCGGTCTTAAAGGGAAACTCTGGAAGATAAGACTTGGCCCTTGAAGTGAACTTCGATTCTCCTTTAGAATTACAGTGTCAGCAGCATCTCCCAAAAGTCAACCTAACTTTCGTTACCTGCGTAAAACCCCGGTTTCTCTCCGCAGCAGTTTTGTCAAATGCCTGACAGATCTTGGCTCTGGCAAGATCCTTGCATATCAGTCCCAGGGAAGAAGTGAGTGTCAGGCTCTTGGGTGGTGTGTGAGAAGCCTTTGGAACCCGGGAGAAAGTCATCCTGTCCTTGGCCCCCCTTCCTTCCTCACGCCTCCATGGAGGCTGGGCTAAGAATAGATGGATGATGAGTGTGGTTGTTAGCCCCAAGTCTCTTGCGTGTGTGTTTCCTGTGGCCGGTCCCCAGGTCAGCCACCTTTGATGAGCAAGGGGGGACAGGCAGGCAGCTGCCACCTTATCTGGCCTGGGTGAGCTGGGAGCCAAGCAGCCTGGCAGACGAGTCCCTGTTGTGTGTGGGTAACCATAGGTTCTGATGTTTGGTTCCAAGCCTCTGTGCTAATTGGAGGGAACCAGTGAATCATTGGCTCTGGGAGGGATTTCAAAACTCACTTGGCCTCCTCAGCTCTATCTTTACAGCTGGGGAAACTGAGGCCTGGAGAAGTGTAGTAACAAGTTGAGTCGGAGTCAGGATTTGAACCTGATCTTCTGACTTGAACTCAGGCTCTGTTCTGAGATCATTTCTGCCATGTAGGAAAGAGCCACAGTGTGGGGGAGAAAAGACATGGGCTTTGGGCTGGCCAGACCTTGGTTTACTCTGGGTTTGCTGGAGGTTTGATTGTGACCCTGGACAGGTTATTGAAATTTTATGAGCCTCACATTCTTTATAAAACGGGGCAAGTGAGACTTTCTTCCCAGGATAAGTGGGAGTGTTCTTTGTGTTCACTTTCCCAGAGCCTGGATCACAGACTAAGATCCCAGGCCCTGGACTTGAATCCCAGCTGCACCACTTGTGACCTCTGCTTTGGGCACAATACTTGTGTACCTCAGTTTTCTGATCTGTAAAATGGGGATAGTAACGGTAGCCAACTCCTAGAGTTGTTTAAAGATTACATTTAAAGAACTTAGTAAGTGAAGTAGCTATCAGTAGCTGTTGTCAACTTTTCTTATTTCCCCTCCCTTGAGAGTCTGGAGACCTGAGTCATGACATTGTTTCCTCTCCACAATGTCCCCTCTCTTCACTTCCACTTTCCTCCTCTGCCAGGTATTTTGTCAAACTGGCCTGGGCCTGGACCTTCTGTCTCCTCCTGCCTTTCATTGCCCTCACCAACTACCACCTGACAGGCAAGGCCGGCCTGGTCCTGCGGCGGCTGAGCACCCTGCTTGTGGGCACGGCCATCTGGTATGTCTGCACAGCTCTCTTCTCCAACATCGAACACTACACGGGCAGCTGCTACCAGTCGCCGGCCCTGGAAGGGGTCAGAAAGGAGCACCAGAGTAAGAAGCAGTGCCATGGGGAAGGAGGCTTTTGGCACGGCTTTGACATCTCAGGCCACTCCTTCCTGCTGACCTTCTGTGCCCTCATGATTGTGGAGGAGATGGCTGTGCTGCATGAGGTGAAGACGGACCGAAGCCACTGCCTCCACACCGCCATCACCACCCTGGTGGTGGCCCTGGGCTTCCTCACCTTCATCTGGGTGTGGATGTTTCTGTGCACGGCTGTTTACTTCCACGACTTGTCCCAGAAACTGTTTGGCACCCTGTTCGGTTTGCTAGGCTGGTACGGGACCTATGGGTTTTGGTATCTGAAACCCTTTTCCCCAGGACTTCCTCCCCAGAGCACTAGTTTGAATTTGAAGCAAGACAGTTACAAGGAATAAAAGAGAAACAAAAGGGGTGATAGATAGCGGGGCAGTGGCTAATGTATTTTTCATGATTTTTCTTGGCTACTTGACTAAAGTATCAGTCCTCCTTCAGTGAGGGAGCTCACCAGGCGGTTTTGGTGAGTGGTGGTGGAGTCTGGGGAGGGACTTGAATCCCCACACTTCTTGGCCATGTCATCTTGTGTCACAAACACCACCCTTCCCAGTCGGGCACTTTTTGTCCCTGGCAAGACTTGACCTTAATCTGGAATGTCCCTTTTGTCCCTAGAGGGCAGAGCTAAGGCTCAGAGAGACGACAGAATCAGGAAGGCCTCCACTGTGTGGCTGGAGGGGAGGCCAGGGCTTCAGCACCCTTCTCTGCCACTGTCATTCTCTCCCTGATTCTAGTCATCTTGTATTTTAATGGCTGACTTAACGCTGTTATTTAATAATATTACCCTCTGGTCAGCTTTGCGTAAGCATTTATTTCCAGCAGGGTTCTTTATAAAACAACCACCTGCCTGAAGATACTCTCTGGTGGTGGTATTTGTTTATCCTCAGAATGTTCTATATCACAACTGGCTTGTGATTACCTACCAAAACAGTTCAACTGGAGTGCCTCTGTGGCTGAATATTGGTGATTTTTGTGTAACGAACATTGCCAGTTTTCTGTCTGTGTTGCCCAGTTTTACTGGCTTTTGGAGCAATAAGGTTACCTTTTTTTCCTACTATTTTGAGCAAATGCTTTATTGTTTTCAACAACAACTATGGCGTTTGTTCTGTGTTGACAAAACTCCTGACGATAACCCACAACCTCGATGCTGCACTTTGGCACGTGCGTGGATAGCTTTGAGGGTTTTCTTAGAACACTAATTTACTTTTTATAAACTAGACTCCTGGATTATGGTATTAAACTCCCCCTCGCTTCATGGGGCTGTTTTCTCTATTAAGAATAAAACCTGAAAGCAGACATTTTAATACTAACTTGATGAAATTTAAGCTGAGTCAGAGTAACTTTGCAAAATGCATACTTGCACTGAAACTTTCCTGACCACGCATCAGTGGTGTAAGCTGAACGGTGTCCTTCAGACTCAGCTGATAAGTACATTGACCAGTCTGCTGTGGCCCAAGGAATTTTTACATTTTGGACAAGATTATGATAAATTGGAGGTGAAGGAAAACGTCTTCCATCGTCTCTGATGGCAGGAAGCCTACTGTTTGCAAAAATGTCCCTGTTAAATGTCGGCACGACTTTGGCCCTACCCTCCACCAGACCCAAACTGGGCCTGCTCAGCTGGCCTTGAAATCGGTCTTTCCTTTCCCCTTTGCACACTTCTCAGTGTCCAACCTGTCCTTCTGTGGCCTGTCACCTTCACCCGCAAAGATACGTTTACAGCTCTGTGATAAGACACTCCCCCGCCACCCATCATCTCCACAGGTTGCAGGCTGTCTATTTACTGTCTCCTTAGGCCTTTTGTACCCAGCCCTTCGCATTTTGGATAATCATCCTGGAAGCTTCCTTGATGCTCCTTCTCTCCCTCAAAGCTAAGCCTGACAAGCACTACACTTAACTGCCTTAACTCAAGCTTACGTGTTAGGAGCTTGAGGCCTGAAAAACCTTCAGGGTAAATTGTATTTCTTATAAAGATGTATTTAAAATATATATTTGGTATCCCACCAGGCTGCATGTTAATTTGTATCGATCAAAATGTGAGGTATATACGTTGTACCGAAAGGTGGCAGAAATGCTGGCTCTGAGATTTCAGAGGTGTCACCCGTGGTGCTTTGGGACGTTGGGAGCGTTGGCAAGATATGACGGGCCCCGTGAGATTTTTTTTGCCCTTTGGAGTTTTTGTCTGTAAACGGGGAGGTAGAGTAGGCGGGGTGGGGGGGGCTTGTTGAAGGGGTTGAAGTCTCTCCTGAGTTTCATGTTCAGCACCAAAAGGCAACAGACACAAGGTGACTCTGTGTGTCTATTTGTCACACTTAAATACCCAGACGTTTCCCCCTGGCAGATCTGATTCAGGCTCAGCATTAAAATTAACTCTGTGGAAAGTGTCAGTTACCGACCCTTGTGTACTGAGCAGTCTTCTATCACTTCCTGTTCAGTCTTAGCACCCTCGCCTTTTCCTTGGGAACGTGCTCCCTACCTCTCTGTGAGGCAGCGTGGTTTGGTGAAAGAGTTTGGGCTTAGGAAAATGCGAGATGTGGGTTCAAATATTGGCACCACCACTGAGAGGTGTCTGACCACAGGCAAGCTTCGTGTCCACACCTGGACAATGGAGATGATACGTTAGGATTACGGGAAATGATGTATGTAAAACACCCAGCACATGCGCTTAGCGGACCAAAATCCCTCATCTCCTTTTTCCTCACCTAAAGCCTTTAGAACTTTTTGGCTCCTTAGAGGAGGCAGGGAAACTAACATCTACTTTTGAGTACCATTTGGGGTCTGGGTCTCCTGTTGAAATAGTCTTGTATCATCTTTTGAAAAGTGTCTGTTGTCCCCAGGTGCTGAGCAAGAGGCTTTGAAGGGCATCTGTGATTCCAGAATACCACCATGCTTGTTTGGCGTCTCCACACTGAGGTTCATTCACTGACACCTCATTTTCCATGTGCATCTGTCGTAGTCTGAGTACCAGATTGTATTTAGAGTTTGGCTCCTGCCACTGCTACATACACACAGATCGTGTGTGTAAACAAGCAAATTAAGTAAACTGGAGATAATGAAATCCCACGTTCTGTGTTTCATGTGTTCCTTTCTAAACCCCTTAAGAAAGTCCAGAACCAGGAAAGCGCAGCCTACTTTATGAAAATGGTATAGTTCTTACTTGAGCTACTCGTTAGATACAGGGTGTTTCATGACTATGGTTACTCTTTTTTTTTTTTTTTTTCCTCCTCAATTCTATAACCAAGTATATGTTCAGTCATATTATTTCTTTTTTTGGTTTTGTTTTCCAGTCATACATTTCTTAGCTTGATTTACTCCTTCCCTTTGTGTCATAGCTATGTCTGAGAGGCCTGAGGTCTGAATCAACCAGATTTGGGAGTTTTCTGGGCAGAAGGAGAGGAGTTGAGCCTCATGGGAGTAACACTGATGAGCGGGTACAAAGTCCACTCCAATGAGGTCTGCTGTGAGAGTGCCCTGTGCCCTGGAGGCCTAGACCTCTTAGTGCCTGCCTACTCATTTGTCAGCCTCACCTGGTTGGCATCTCCAGGTAGTGTCTGTTGAAAGCTCCAGAAAGCTCTACGGCTGTAGGATTAAAAGCTCCTTAGACTGCTGTACTTCCCTCTGCAGATTTCATCAGCAGCACCAAGCTTCCTGAGTTCGTACTGTGAGCCAGGAGCTGATGGTCAGCATAAACTCCCTCCCCGCTGGAGTTTGTGGTCCAAAGTCTGTCCGCTCAGAGCTTCAGGCAGGTGCTGGGGTTGCAGAGAACTTGATACATCTGTGCATTAGAGGAATTTTCAGTCTTGTGGACGAGACACAAAAGGAATCAACAACCACCATCAAGTGTTTTTTTTTTTTAATGTTTATTTATTTTTGACAGAGAGAGAGAGAGAGCAGGGGAGGAGCAGAAAGAGAGGGAGACACAGAATCTGAAGCAGGCTCCAGGCTGTGAGCTGTCAGCACGGAGCCCAGTGGCCGGTTGTGGGGCTTGAACTCACGAACCGCGAGACCATGACCTGAGTCGAAGTCAGACGCTTAACAGGCTAAGCCACTCCGGTGCCCCTGAAATGTTCTGAGTGCTGGGGCAAGGTCAGGGCCTGGGAACATAGAGCAGGGGACAATCAGATGCCCTGGGAAATTAGAAAATATTTTCACAGAACATAACCACTCTTTTGGGTCTTGAAGGTGGGGAGGAGTTCAGGCAGTTAAGGGAATCCAAGCAAGTGAGAACAGGACGCACAAAGGCACAAAGATATGCTACAGTGACTTTTATCCAGACATCCCTTCTCAAGGAACATAACATTCCCCCCATTTTCCAGAGCAACGGAGCACGAAGAAAGGCATGAAGGACTGCAGGGGTGATGGATGTGCCCTGCTATAACATGGAGAGCCCACAGCTAGAGGTGAGGATACCTGGCTTTGTGCTGGATTCTGCCACTGCTGATTCTGCTCTCCTGTGTGACTCTGGATTCGTCAGTCACCATCCCTGGCAGTCAATTCCTTACCTGATAAAAGAGGGGGGTGGACTGAGTAATCTCACCAACGCGTCTGCTCTATTCCCTTTCTCTGTTCTGCTTCCCAAGCTGGTTATGATCCTATTTTAGGAAACAACGTGAAAAGAAACTCCTACTCAGAGCTGAGGTGGCAGCTGGTTTTCTAGTGAGTGATGGAGAAGCCCACCTCTGGGTGCTCTTTGTCACCCCCCGCTTTTCTGTGCATCCATAGCCTAATGTAGTTCAGACCTGATTTGTACGCATTCATCCGGACTTACTGGACATGGGGAGCTGAGCCTCATTCCCAGAGGGATGAACTCCAGAGGCCTTACCAAAAGAAGTCTCTAAACTCAAGCCATTTTTGACAGATCACTTTTGACCAGGGAAGGGGTAGGTTCTGTTCAGAGAAACCCTGTGCAGTGTAGTCACCTTCAGAAATTGTCCCCAAAGCCCCTAATACAGTCGCTGAGTTTTGAAAGTTGAACACACAGCACAGAAAATAGGTGCCCTCCTTCCCTGGGGAGAGGGGAGGTAGTAGATTGGTACCACGTGTTTAGAAGGTAACCTAGTAGTGTCCAAACTTAAAATGTGCGGACCCAGCAACCTCTGTCTCGGGCCGTGGGCTGTGGAAAGGGGTGTAGAAGCGGGCAAACGAGTATAAAGACCTCATTGCGGCAACTTGTAACAGCGAGAAGTTGTCACGATCTGTTGTCTAACCAAATTACGGTAACTATATCAAAAATAACAGTGCAGTCACTACAAAGAATCAGTGATGTATCAGCATGGAATCTGGAGGCAGACAGACTCGGATTTGCACTGCCTGGAACTTACGGCTGTGTGTCCTCTCTCCAGTC